GGGAGGGCAGGGCAGCCTCCGCGTTGGCGCGGCCTGAGCATAAAGCGTGCGGTTGTGCCTCTCCGGGGCGCCTTCGGGTGTGTGCTTAACGAAAAACTGACTAAACCCCCCAAATTCCTGATTCTTGTTAAACAGAGAAACGTGCCCCGTGATTTGTAAGTTTCTGGGCTCCGAGGTGTAGTAGTACAGATGGTGGCTGTGGAACGTGACGCACTCCATGTGTCAGACGAGGTTTCCCTGATGAGTAACTCGTCACAACTTACATAACTAAAAAAGAAAATAAATTAAAAAAGCTGTTTCTTAAGTTGCCTCTTAAAATGCTTTCCTCCGTTCCCAGACTTAGTGAACCATGGTCCTCACAAGTGTGGAAAAGATGGTTGGCCTCCAGAAGAAGACTTCTGGAATCAGGAACATCTGTATATTAGCCCATGTGGATCATGGTAAGGCAGGTGGTTGTCACTGGCAAACACCCTGTGAGGAAAACTTGTGTGTGTGTTAGTTTGAATGATGGTGAGATATTTTGGTTGCTGTTTTAAAGCAGTAGGTTTGCACGGATTTAGGTTTAAGCTGTCTTAATTCTGATTCTGAGAAGTAAATTTGCTTTATGTGCATTTCTTTTGCCTGATGCAGCTTATCTTTTAGAACTTAAGAGAGCATTACACTAGAATAATCTGGAATACTTGGAACCGAATGTTTTCTACTTTTGTGATGCTGAATGTTAGCATGAATTAAATATATGCATGTGTGAGGTAGGCTGTTATATTTCTATGTTTACTTAATAGAAGAGGTTTGTTATATAGGTGGAAATAATAAATACTCGTGTTAGGATACAAATCTTTTGCCTAGTTGTGTGATATATTGAGGTTCTGATGTATGGTTTGTTATTTCAGCTGCTTTTCTGGTCGTGACAGGTAAGGTTGCATCTGCTCTTCAAGAATAAATTAGTTTGTACCTAACAGGTGAAGCTATCTGATCTATTTTTTTTAAAGTTAGCTTGTACTTTTATGGCATTTTAAAGACTTTCTTAATGTTGGTATCTCAGAACACTGTTGTCAGCATTCATAATATTGTCGCATCTTTTTCTATTGTCTGTATGAATTTAAACTAAGTAATTTATTTTTCTTTTCAGGCAAAACTACTCTAGCTGATTGTCTAATATCTAGCAATGGAATAATCTCAAGCCGCTTGGCAGGAAAGGTAGAGTTATACTGTCATTTTTAACAGAATTCTGGTCGGTATGTGCTGGGATTATAAATCAGTGATGATTAAGGAAATTCCACTCCCAGTCTTGCTAAACCTCATTTTCTCGCAGTCATAGTCTTTGGCAGTTGATAAGTAACTTGTGAAGATAATTCAACAGATTTATCACCTCCTTTTTTGTTTTTGTACTCAGCTGAGATATCTAGACAGTAGAGAAGATGAACAGGTCCGAGGAATAACAATGAAATCTAGTGCAATTTCATTGCACTTTGTGAAAGGTAAGCCATTGATGCTGGCAAGTATAAACTTTAATATATTCTTTGTTAATTTTCCCTGTCTCTTCATTGTTGCTGTTGAGATTTTTTGTGTTTCTCAGTGTTAGGTCATGTTTCTGCGAAGACTTCAATGTGTATTCAACTGTTAACCAAAATAATCAAGTTCTACCTCGGGGTTAGGAAAACCAACTTCAATTGTATCTGTGACTGGGGGCAATTGTAGTTGCTTTTATCTTTTTATTTTACATCTCAATCTTTATATTTTGATCTTAAGTCTTGAAATAACGTCACTGAAAGGCAAGATCTTTCAAAAAAGAACGAATTTTTGAATTATTTTATAAAATTTTATCTTTACAAGACTTCTGTGTCAAGGTGCCTGTTACACTCTGCTATGAATTGTTCAGAGGGTTTTTTATAGTGTAGTTACAGTCTCATCTTTGTTGATACTTGATGTTCCTCACCAGTCTTATCCGCAGCTAGGTGAATGAAAAACATGAAATACATTACTAACAGTCTTGTGCAGAAAAAAGAGTAACAGAAAGATTGCATCAACAGAAAAGCCACCATTAGTTTTTTCTTTTTGGTTACAACCGATTATAAAAAAGAGTTGAAATCAACGAGCTTCTAGCTAAGTATTGTAAACTGTGGCTGGTTTATTTGGACTCTGAAATGACCTTGCTTTTAATGGTTAGAACCTTTTATGTCTGTTGTTTTTCTGTTGTATTGAAATTTAGACTCCAGTACAGCTTCTTAAACAGGAAAGTTGTTTGATCTTATTTTGATTATGGCTGATGATAAATGCAGTGAGTTCATCAAAAGTTGACTAGAGTCTCTGCTAAGCAGAATTTGTTTGGGGAGTAGTGTAGAAAATATTGAAAACTTCTCCTGTATTGATATATTGAAGATATTTTAGTAATATGGAGTTAAAAGTGTGTTCTAAAAAAATCACAATGTTGAAATGAGACATTTTATCAATAATGTAGGGTTTATTTTTATGATAGTCTATCATGATTCATCTTTAAAATGCACACTGTAATGCAGTTGATTTGTGGTTTAACTAATGATCTATTTCTAATGTTACTACAAGCTTTTTCAGGGTTAGAGTTTTTCTTTTTGTGTGGTTGGCTGATGTGTTTTTGTTTTTAGTTTTCCAAAGGTAGTTGGGCGTTGAAAGATGAAGATTGGCATTAAGAGTGAAATTAAAACCAATTAGGTACAAGCCACTAGATGTTATGCGGCTGGCACTCTTCCTGTCCTCTTGGAGTTTTTCTTAAGTGTAATGGTTACTGCAGATTTGATACTTAGAAATTAATAGTAGCTTAAGCAGTATAACCAGGTGTCTGAAAGAAATATTTTTGGAAGCTGTTCTGAAATACTGGTTTATTGTTTGATCCTAGGTGATCAGGAGTATCTGATTAATTTAATAGACTCCCCAGGGCACGTGGATTTTTCTTCAGAAGTATCTACTGCTGTTCGACTCTGTGATGGTTGCATCATAGTGGTGGATGCTGTTGAAGGAGTCTGTCCACAGGTGAAATAAAGTATATTAGAGAAGACAGAGAAAGCAAAGTCTTAACTGTATTCTGTAGAAATAAAAGATCAACTGGTTTAAGAAGTTTTGTAAACCTTCTAATAAATTACAATGTACTTGTGGTGTGAAAGAGGGTACTTGGTTTCATAGCTGTGCTCTAAGAACTGAGCAATGCTGAGGAGTGGGTGTAGTGATATAGGATTGAAACATTGAGTATCCAATTTTTCAGGTAATCAAATATTTGCATAGAAAAGAAATAAGTGTCTTAAGGGAGATAATTTAACATCTTTATATGTGGTTTTTTGGTATTGAAAGTGAAAAAATACACAAAATAACATTGAGATTGCTTTTTTTTGTGGCTTGCTTTTATAAAGAGGGGTTATTTTGTGTGGGCATTTTTGCTATGAAATTCTGCTATCGTGCAGAATTCTGTAGTAACTAACACTGTACTCTGGGAGTCAAATTTCTGGTTTGAACGTCAGCCTGTCCTTTGTTATAGGTTTAATTAAATTTTAGAATTATATTGTCATTTTCTTTATCATTCCACCTCTTTTGTGATATCAAGCTTTCTGTAATGGATTTTTTAAAAACTATTTCCTTCTTAATAGACTCAAGCAGTTCTACGGCAAGCATGGCTAGAAAATATACGTCCAGTATTGGTGATTAATAAAATCGATCGCTTGATTGTGGAACTCAAGCTCACCCCTCAGGAAGCATACTTGCACCTTAAGAATATCTTAGAACAGGTATTCATGTTATAGTGTCATGTTCACACAGTAGACTTTGAGGTTCTTTTTCTTCCCCCTTTTCTCCATTTTTTTAATTGAGAGAGACTGTAATTTTCACTGCCTTATAGATGGAATAAGTTTAGTACAGCAGAACTGCAGGTTTTTTTACTTTGTGGGATCAAGCACTATTTTTAACATTGGGATACATTTTATTTCTAGTTGGTTTTGAGGTTCATTCAGAATGCCTGTGATAGAGAAAAGAGTATTAAATGTCTCTTGACAGGTCATCAGGAAGAGTCTTCATTTTTAGAAGTAATATGCTGAATGTTTTGTACTTCCTGTTAAATTGCTTAAACTTCTTTGAGGGTAGACAAATAATGCTTCTGATATGGGTGAATTTATGCAGGGATAAAGTTAATTCATCTTTTAAGTTGTAAGTTAAGCTACCTTCAAACTTTTTTTTTTTCCGCTCAGAGCTCACTTTCAAACACTTATCTACCTGGTTTCCCTTTGCCCTCCTCTGTTGTTTGTTGGCAGTAACAAGTTCATATTTCACCATTTCTCGTTCTGAGAAACAAAATGTATTACACATGGTATTCTATATCTGATTCAATTCTGATGTCGCTGACTTTGACTTGGAAAGTACAAGGTGTTTAAGTCAAAATGTTAGTTTCATCAAACTCCTGCTGTCTTCAAATGGGCAGGATTAGATACACAAGGTCTGTGGTTTAAATTGCAAAATGAATCACAGGCATGCTATCTTGTTAAAAAAAAAATAAATCTTTTGTATTTTGGAGGGTGGAAGGAATTGCATTTTAATTGCAAGGGTTGTGAAAGAGTGAACAAATCTTAGGGTGTTTTTACATATCCTTCTGTAGATCAATGCTGTCACTGGAGTACTCTTTACCTCTAAAGTCTTAGAAGAAAGAGCTGAGAAAGAAACAGAAAATGAAAGTATTTCAGACGCTGCACCAGGAGATCAAATTTATGACTGGAGTGCTGGATTGGAAGATACTGATGATTCACATCTTTATTTTTCACCAGACCATGGAAATGTGGTGTTTGCCAGTGCAATTGATGGCTGGGGTTTTGGGTAAGTCTGGGATTTAGTTACTGACTTTTTTTAATTGATTACTGCAGTTAATCTTAAAGTATTTTCATTTGTTTCCTATTTCTAAAGATAGTTTTTATATTTTTCTGTGATATGCAACTGTATATAGTCAGTTCTAACATATTATTTACACTGGACAGCTGAAAATACTACCAGCTTTGTCATCGATGTGACAGGGACCCCTGTTTTACTTATACAGCAGCTGCTGAGCTCACTGTGTGTCCAGCCTCGCCTGGTAAACTTAGTATTTTATTAATTGCTGACATTTGATAGGCTGTAATAGACTAGGCCAAAAACTGTGGCAGTACAGTTACCTAATATCTTTATATTTCTGTTTCAGCAGTTGCTAAAAAGCATTGCAGAGATGTTCAAGTAAACGTCAGAATTTCGGGAGAGAACAAATTTAGGAAATACTCTGGGTTACTGTATTTGAGTTTGTGATCAGTTCTGCTTTTCAACCCTGTTCCTGGTAGTTAGTTTCAAAGAGCAGCAGGCTATTGTAAAGTTTACAGGTGTTCTGATTGCTTACCACAAGGTGGAGTTGTTGTCTTCATCATGAAAATATAATTAAAAAGATGCACTCAGTAATACGGTGCATGTCTTTAATATGGCAAAACCTTTAAAAAAACCTCAGCTCCAGGATTTTTAAGTCAAAGTCAAGCTCTTAAATAAGGTTCCTTTCATAGGTTGTAGTCTAACACAAACATTTCTTAACACAGCAGAGGAAAGGGAAAATAAAATGGATTATTTCAGCTTAATTATCTGCCATGAATAATAATAGTTTCTGAAAAATCAAAGTGTAAGTGGTAATTGAAAAAAAATCTTTGAATTCTGACATGTTGGAATATTCTTTAGTCTGAAAGAGATATTTTTACAGAGGATGTGTGTGAGGGGAAACCTTTTCATTTCTGAAGGCTAGCGAGGGTTATCTGATACCTTTGGTGATCCACACGTTAACATGCATCTTATCTGAAGTCCTCCATTCCCATATGGTGCCCACAGTCACTCTTCTGTTTTATGGTATGCAGGGAAACAGTATTTTGATTTCTGTAGGCTTTAGCTTTCCTGACTTGTAACTTTTCATTGAAATTCCATGGAAAAAAATGGGTTGTGGTAGTACACTGTTGTTATACAGAGTATTTGGGATGCAAGTGTTCCAAACTTGTTCAAATTTGGAGTCACAATATGAATGCTTGCTTCAGCAAATGTTGAAATTATTTAGAGCTATCTGCTATTTTTGTCCTGTATGGAAAAAGATTGGGCAATTTGCAGCTTACATTTGTTTTGGATACTGACAAAGCCTGTGGAAAGGAATAAATGAAAACAAAAAGCTAAGTTTTTGGTTTGGTAAGTTCAGAGGTGGCCTGGGTTTAGTATTAGTATTCTAAGTATGCTGTCAGGGAATGTTAAGCATTAAGAAAAATGTTTCTTAAAGAAAATGATACAGTGGAGTACTTTTTTATGATAAGTAGAACTATAAGCTCAAAAGCAATTTAGAAGCTGTTTCTTTAGCTCAAGCTACTTGATAGCTCAAGCTACTAGTAAATCATCAGCTATTAAGATTTTATGGGTTACAGAACTACATTGTGATATAAGCCTGTGGTCATAAACACCCTATGATCACCTTTGTAAATGAGAAGCCAGCATGTTGTTCTTAAATGGTAGGTGAACAGAACAGTTATTTTTGTAAAAGTGACCTCTTTAGGTCATAACCAGCCTGCTTTTATTAACTCATGGGGACCACTGGACAACACAGTTGGCTTTATAACACAATTTTGGCATTACAGTTTTGATACTATTTTTTGGGGTTTCTTCATTATTAAAGCAGTGATTCAAAAATTAAGAAATGCCCTAAGTGGTTTATTTAAAAAATAATTACCACCACATGCTGGCTCAAGTGTGGCTCAAAAGAATACTTGATTTTTAACTTGTACCATTCTGGTCACAGACCATGATTAACTGTGTTGTGGGATGTCTTTCATAGTTTAAGAGTCATCACATAAATATTTAGAACTCTTGTATTATGCATTTTAGTTTTTCCTGGAGGTTAGTATGCAAATATTTGTTTCAAATAAACAAATTCAACCCTGAAACTGACTTGAAACAAAACAAAAACATACAAATAGTAACATTTTTGAGCTGTTATGACTAAATATTTTTGTAGGTGTGAGTGTTAAACAATGTGAGCTAAAGTGAAGGCAATTGGAAAAATGAGAGTAAAACAAGGATTTGAGATTTGTGTGTGATTTTCATGTAAGCTGTCTGTTGCTTAGGCTGATAAGCACATGGAAACGGCATTACACATTTATCAAGATGCACTTTGTTTCTTTTCAGTATTGAGCATTTTGCCAAACTGTACAGCCAAAAGATTGGAATCAAGCCTGCAGTACTTCTGAAGACTTTATGGGGAGATTATTATCTAAATACAAAAGCAAAGAAGATAATGAAAGGTGATCAGGTAGGGAGATTGTCAGAAATATGACCTGGTTTTTATTTTGTTTGAGGTTTTTTTATTCTGTTCCTCATAGTGTATTCTGAAAATTGACCTCAGTACATTTTTACTCAACATCAGTGGAAGTATAAAGTCACTTGGATACCCTTGCATCAGTCCTTGGAGAAGATAACATTCCAAAATTGACCATTCAGAAGCTTTATGGAGGAGATCTCATCTAACAGTGCTCACAGTTGCTGTTAAATGTCTCTTTTCACAAAATAAGGGACATTGCAGCTTCAAGGATTCAGCATAGAGTGAAACACACAAGATGAATGGAAGGCTAATGGTGTAGAAACCAGAGCAGCAAGTGGGTCTCTGTCTTATTTGAAGAGTCCCTCAACAGCTAAGGGTTTAGGATATTCATGTTTAGCTTGGAATTTAGAAAATCTTTTATGCCTTAGTGAGATCCCATTTAATGCTATACCAAACCCTGGCCTAAAAACTACACTTCTGTTGCATTAAGCGTTTCCACCACTAAGAGTTAAGAGGGGAGAAGGGCTTTTCCCTATTTTCATTTAATGATGATTTTTTTGTGTTTTCATAGGTGAGGATTAATAGTTATAAAAAGGGTGATAACCAGGCTCAAGGTAGACACATTCCGTATTTATCAGGCTCTTTTTCTGAAATCGAAACCCCTATCCTTCAGCTTTAAAGTTCATGTTTATTTTGTGCCTTGTACCATTCTTATAAGACAGACTGTTGAAGTAGTGATCTTGTGTAGAAATAGGTAACTGTCTTGATTTTGAATATAGGTTTTACATGCTCTTTATGAAAATGGTCACTTAAAAGTACAGTCTTAACCCTATTGTAAAAGTGAGGAATTGCTGGTAATTAGCTGTATGTTTATGTTTTACCAGTCAAAAGGAAAGAAACCTTTGTTTGTGCAGTTGGTGCTGGACAACATTTGGAGTCTGTATGAAGCTGTTATGAAAAGGTGAGAAGATCTATGACGTTTTCCTGGAATCTCTTTCCATGTGCTATGGTGATTTTTGAAATACTCAAACAAGGAATATTGTAGATGCTTGTTATATATTGCTGCTGTGGTTTTTTTATCTGTTTATTATTTTCCTTACAGAGACAAAGAAAAAATTGAAAAGATAGTCACCTCTTTGGGATTGAAAATTGGTGCACGGGAGTCACGGCATGCAGACCCTAAAGTTCATCTTAATGCCATTTGTAGCCAGTGGCTTCCAATATCTGATGCAGTCCTCTGTATCCTTAAGGGAGATACTTCTTTGTGTTCTATTGGCAGTTCTCAGACTTCAAAGAGTGCTCATATATTTCAGTGTGTGATTTGGTATGATTTGTTCTTTTTTTGTTGTTTTTTTTTCACATGTGCCTATGCTAGCTGGACCTATTGTCTCACTGGTAATATTAATTTCCATATCTACAAGTAGCCTTACATTTCTATGAATGTCGTGCTTTTGCTCACACCCTTTTTTATGAAAATAAGTTATGAAACTTTAGGAATTTTAACAATACACTTTCATTATGTAGTTTTATATACAATTGTTTGTGTTTTTCCTGAAGGATTAGCCAATCTCCTTTTTATAGTGTATCTTAGCTCTTGTGTCCATGAGCTTCTGTAAGTATGTGGAGTTACGTTTTAGGCATATGCATTCTTAATCCAAGATCAGCCTTTGCTGTTTGTCTGCTGTATAGACCATCTTCTCATCATTTGTAATGTAATACACATTATATTATAGTAGGTATGCACAAATTATTGATGTATAAATATTAATTCTAAATTCTTGCCCCGTTGTGCTATTCTTAGTTTCCCAGTTGCACATAGGGTGAGTCACCCCTACTTAACTATCCATTCTGCCTTTGGATAAATGCCAGAAATAGTTGCTGACTTGAGAGGGAGCTGTATGCACTGGAACAAACAGAGCTGGATTTTAGCTATCTGTTGTGGCTGGCGGTTAGTGCATGAGGTTGATTTAAAGAAACAAATGTTGAAGCATTTGTCTTCCTTTTTATTTGCATTCAGTAAGGAAATATAAATATGTAAATACCTATCCTTAGCAATGTGTTTTAGCCATGGTGTGTAATAAACTTCCCAGTCCTCTTGACATCACTGCGGAGAGAGTGGAAAAGCTGATGTGTGTTGGAGCTAGAACATTTGATTCTTTGCCACCTGAAACTCAGGAACTCAAAAGTGGTGAGTAGGTGTTCTCCCATTAACATGAAGATTGTTTCTATCTTGGTGGTTTTGTTTGTCTTTGGATCATACAATGGGTAGTAATCTCTACTTAGATTTATAATTATATTTTACTTGTAGTAGTTTTGATGATGTTTGTCAGTGACATGTCATAGTATTATGTCTTATTTCTATGGTCATACATTTTTCTTCAGTCTCGTATATTCATGGGTTTTAGGCAATTCAAGCTGCAGGTGTTGCAAAGTCTAAGACACGAAACTGGGCATTTGGAAGGATATGAGGTTAATATTTGGTTGCGGTTTTAAACAGGAGAATTGAGAATTGAATATTTTACCAACTTCTATATTAAACCCATGAATTTTTAGCCAGTAGGGTTTGAATTTGGATTTCATTTTTACAAGTATGTTGATTAACTGGGCCCAGTTTTTGGTAATTTAAACAAACAAACAGAAAAATTCTGCTGAATTTCTTGCTAAGTAGTTTGCTTACTGATAAGTTAGTAAGATGTAGCTCAGCTGTTAATACAAACATTAAGTATTTCTTCGACATTTCCATAGCTCAAGGTGTAACTTGATTTCTTCATTATTTCATAATATTCCAGAATGATAAAAGGCTAGCAAATAAGACCAAGAGCCAAAAGGCTTCCAAGGCAACAAATGTTTTTTTCTTACCCAGAGTGTTAAATGAAGATATGAAATCCTGATATTTTGAAGTTAAAGTTTTCCCATTGACTTCATTGAGATCATGATTTCATGACCAGTTCTGACAGAGTTTCCAGCTTTAACTAAGAGTTCCTCCTCAAAATGGGTTTAGAAGTATATTCAGTATATTGTGTTGAACATTGGGATATCTATGTGCAAAAGTAAGCAAGAGAAGTTTGATAATCACCAAGTCCTGTGCTCTAAAATTGTGATAGGGACTGGAAGGACTACGTTCAATGGTTTAACGTTCCCGTAGGCAGTAAAAGAGCTATGTATAGGCAAGTAATGAGGTATACAGGGTGTGGGAGGGCTCGTAAGATGCTCGTATTCCTTCACGATCTTTGACTTACATGAACACAGCTTATGTTTACAAATACGTTCTTCATAAAAATTTTGGTGCCTTGGAAAGGAGAACTTCTGCTGAGGTTTTTTTCCTGAAAGACAGATGAAAACTGCTGAACTAAGTATTTAGCAGAATGGAAAATCAAAGTTGAAATTGATAATATGGATGTAATGCTCAGTTGTGAGCAAAGCTCGTTATTTCTCCACGTATATGTGGTGATCTCCTCTAAGGGGTAGGAAGCTCTGTATAAATCAAGTGATGTTTTTCCTCCACATTTGGTAGTCTGAAAAAGAATGTTCCCAAATGATCTTTTCAGATAGGTTTGTAGGGGATAAATAGGCCTTATACATATGATTTTGTTGTTCTGCCAACATTCTTTCTAACTGAACAGAATATAACAGAATACCATTTTGTCGTAAGGTAGTAAATGTTCTCTGATATTTCAAGAGGTAGTTTAGTAAAAATTACAAGAAAATACTATGCTTAAGCTTGTAACAGTTAAAAACATTTCTTAAGTTTGTATGTGTAGTGAAAGGTGTTTATAGAACAATGTTTTGAAGAGAGCTTCAAGAAATCTAAAGGGATGAGATCTCAAATGTCAGTTTGAGATGTGAATGTCAAATTGACAGGCTCTTATGAATTGTTTCCTGGGGGTGAGGCAACTGGTATTTTCATCCTTTTACTGAACATTTACAAACATTGTATTCTCCAAACAGTATTCAATACTGTATCAGTATAAGTTAATTAGAAGAAATTTGCCCCTGTAAACTTGGATCTTACTGTTCCTGGTTATGAAAAAAATAGTGTACTTCACATTTAGTGAATATCTTGCTCATTTTCAGTAGTAGTCTTGCACTTTGTTTGCCTCAGCACTTTACAATATAGTCTTTTCATACATCAGATAAAAAGGAGGAGTGTAGGAGATGATGATTTATTTTCTATGTTGTTATTAGAAGTTTTGAATGATATTGTGTCGGTTTTGGATTTGATAATGTGTTCCAAGTAGAATGAAAAAAAATAGTTTATGGGAATTTCGTAAGTATTGAGTAAGTTTTGTGCAGATCTTTCATCCTTTGAGGAATATCCATTCTTGCAGTTAAGTTGTTATGATTTCTTGAAGACATGAGCATCTGGACATTTGCAGGACTTCCTCCTTTAGTTTGAAAGGAAGGAGAATACTTTGAGAAACTGAATAAATAGTGCTGTCTTAATGCTAAGCTGCTTTCTCTTTTTTATTCTAATCTAAACCAGCCTATGAACTCAGCTTCAAATATCAAACCAATATATTTAGTTGGAGTATATGTAGTTTCTTATGAAGGCTTCTATTTTTACAATTTTGCTCATTTTATTTTATTGTGAAACAGACTTGAAGATATAGGCAGTGTTATCAAATAATTAGGCTAGAGTAATTTTCTGCTTTTCTTGTTAATTTGTCTTTAGCATATTATCCATTGAAATAGGAAATAAACAGTAATTCCTATAAAATTCATGGAAAGCCATAGTTTTATCCATACTGTTGGGAAAAAATTGTACAAATAACTTCCTTTTATGTTTGTTCAGCTTTTATGAAATGCAGTAGTGAAGGAACAGCCCCAGTTATTGTCTTTGTTTCCAAAATGTTTGCTGTTGATGCAAAGGCATTACCACAAAATAAGCCAAGGTAAGAAAATGTAACGTTTAACTTTTGATTAAATACTTTCAGGAAAAAAAAGTTATGTTGCAAGTGTGAGTGAATTGTTTTGACCCTGAGAACATAATTCACTAATTTTTGAAATGCAATAAAATCTTTTCAGCAAGTAGAGATTTTCTGAATGAGTTCAAGAGATGATTTCTTTAACCATATTAATTCTAGAAGATTTAGCAAATTTGTTAAGGATTAAAAAACACATTTGTTGGAGAATAGTACTTTGATCCAAATATATCATCCTAATGCATACGTTATATGCTGTTTCAGGATGTTTGGTTGAAAATATGATTGAGTTGTAATGCTTTCTTTGATTTTCAGTAAGGTTGTCTTGGCGTGATCGTAACAGCTTGCGTTTGTAATGAGACACACTAGATAGTAATATAGAAATATTAATATAGAAAATAGTAATCCTTCTACTAGATTAGACTGATTGTGACTGTTAAATTTTTGTGCAAAAAATGGTACTATTGCTGTAGTAATATTTGAAAGCTATACTACTATCACACACTTCCTAGATTTACTTCAGTTCTTTCTTACCACGCTTATCTAGGTATCTACCATCAAAAATCTTTCTTACAATAACTTTGAATTCAGGGAAAAGATGCATTGCACTTGTGGATAGACCAGACACTAGATGGTGCAGTTTTACTTCGACTTCTGTCCTTAAATGTATCTGGAACAAGAGTTCTTGCTCAGGTACTGGTGTAGCACAGCAGTGCCATTACTGCTTTGTCTGCTTTCTTGGATATATACTCTCGTTGTCAGAGAAGGCTATGCTGAGGCCATCACATTCTGGCTGTTCTATCACTGATAATGATCTGTTCTTTTGTTTGTTGGGAGGATCGAAATTTTTTGACGTGATGAGGATGTAACATAGAGGCAAAGGTGGCTTTTACATACATCAGACACAGAAAGTCTCAGAAATATTTTCAAGATTTTAGTCAAAATTTGAAAAAAAAAGGAAAAGCTAGATACTGCAAGTCCTGTTTTGTGACTACAACTTCACATTTCAAGCGAAAGACTGTTTATGAGAGATTCTGACTTTTCCAAGAGTAGTGGATAACTCTTACCTATTTTCATTCTGTGTCATATACTTATGAGCACTCTGCCTCACAGATAAACTCTCCTTCCCTGTCTCCTGGTTTTCATCTTACATTTTTCTTGGTGTGGTTTTTTTTTTGGTGGTGGTTTGGTTTTTGGTTTGTTTTTTTTTTTAATTCTCCTTAGTCATCCCCCTTCAGGAAGGGAGCTAGTTTATGTGTGTTTATATGCTGTGCTGGTTTTGGCTGGGATAGAGTTAATTTTCTTCATAGTAGCTAGTATGAGGCTATGTTTTGGATTTGTACTGGAAGCAGTGTTGATAATATAGAGATGTTTTCATTATTACTGAGCAGTGCTTACACAGAGCCAAGGCCTTTTCTGCTTCTCACCCCACCCCACCGGTGAGGAGGCTGGAGGTGCACAAGGAGTTGGGAGGGGACACAGCCGGGACAGCTGACCCCAGCTGACCAAAGGAATATTCCATACAATATGACATCATGCTCAGCATATAAAACTGGGGGAAGAGGAAGAAAAGGAGGGATGTTGGGAATAATGACGTTTGTCTTGCCAAGTTACCATTACACGTGATGGAGCCCTGCTTTCCTGGGGATGGCTGAACACCTACCTGCCGATGGGAAGTGGGGAATGAATTCCTTGGTTTGCTTTGCTTGGGTGTGCGGCCTTTGCTTTACCTATTAAACTGTCTTTATCTCAACCCACGAGTTTTCTCACTTTTACTCTTCCAATTCTCTTCCCCCATCCCACCGTGGCGAAGTAAGTGAGAAGCTGTGTGGTGCTTAGTTGCCGGCTGGGGTTAAACCACGACATATGTCATGTGTTATACTTTTAAAAGAGAGACAAAGTTCCCCAAATGGACAAAATAATATTTTTTAAGAAATTTGCCATGTATTGTAGTTCATAATATGTGTATGACCATGCATACATGTATAGAAGCTTATCCATTATGACTTGTTGGTTGTATTTTCTCCTTAGATAAAAAAATGTGCTGCTCTCAATTTTACTGGTTTTCAGAACGCAAATACAATTACGTTTTTGCACTCTGACACATACTGTGCAACGAATTCGTAATTCTGATCATCAAGCTGGTTTGAAAAATCTCAAAATGTTTACTGAGTGGAGGATTGCAGTTGACTGATAGTTCAAGTAATGCAGAGCTGGTCCAAAAATCCTAACAGAATTTAGATAAATTAGGCTTTCTGAAATAATGTTGCAGGAGAGTGAGGACAGCACTGGAATTCATTCTGGGAGACTTGAGGCCTGTTAGTGGTGACTGTAGGCAATATGTCCTTTATCCCCATTTATTCAGTAAATTGAAAATTGTACTGTCTTGCTCCATAGTTTGTGTGAAAAGTATTTCTTGCTGGCCATAGTCTTAAATTTTTCAATTAGTTACTAATTGGCTAGTATTAAAATTAAATCACATGACTTTTTCTGTGAGATAACCAGTCATTATCAGCACCATGTAATTTTGCTGATTAGGTAGTATTAACAATATGGCAAGGGAGGGAGTATTTTTAAGCATGTTAAAGCATGTAAAAAATTGAGATTTTTTTTTTTTCTGGTTTGGTTTTTGTTTGGGTTTTTTTTGTTTATTTGGTTTGGTGGGGTTTTTTACAAGACTTACACTCTTCTATTTCCAGAGGTGAAAAAAGTAGATCCATGCTGCTACTACCTTTTTCTTTCCGTTTGTAAGGTAGTATTGGGTAATGTTACCTTTTTGTAAGTTTCTTAGAAACAGCAAATTGACTGTGCAGTTTTTCTAGTTTGCCTCATTTCTGCCGTATGCTTATAATACTTTTTAAGCATAGGTTGGGAAAAGCAAAAAGCCTTCTAAGTCCAGAGTGTGCGGTAAATGATAACGAAGGTTGGATTTTTAATTAAAACAACCTCCTTTGAGACTGTTGTTGGCAACTAATATCTCCTAGAAGGTGACTTTAAAAATGAGTAGATTCTATACTAAAACTGCTATGCTTTTGCTTTTACTGTTTAAATAACAAAGTTTATCAGCTGCTACGACACTAGATGGAATAGATGGGAAAATAGTTTGTGGTCAGGTTACAACAGGTTGGCAGCTTATATTTATCTTTCTTTGGAAAGATTTGAAACTTGGCTTTTATATGGTACCAGTATGTCCCTCAGTTTTTATCAGGTTTTTCTAAAGAAACGGGAATTGTGCAAATATGTTTTGCCCTCCAGTTTCTTCTAGCCGAACTTCTGAAATTATTTGCTAATTCCAAATCAGACAAAGGTGTAAATTCTCTGAAAATTGCTGGTTGAGCAGAGTAGCCAAACAAATTACAACCCGTGATAAGACAGTGTAGTATCCTCTCCTTCACTTTAGATATTAAAATATCTAAAATCAAAATAAATGGGGTCATAATGGCTTCTTCTGGAGCTACTTCCTTTTTATAATGAGGCCATAATTATTTGATTATGCCTGTGGTTTATTCTTAGGTGTTCATTCAGCACATGCCATTTCTTTATCTCCTTTCTACTAGTGTTTTGCTTTGAACTGCAGTCAAAAACAGAATGGTTTTGAGTGCGGGTGTATGAATAAAAGCAGAGCTTGGCATTTAGATACAGAGCATAAATATTCCAGTTTGCACTTCCTGAGGTTCAGAATTCTGTTTTTATCTAACCCAGTGTAAAAGAGAAATATTTAGTAATTAGTTATGATCGCTCTCAAGTAGTTTTAGCTGTTGCTGTGTGTGTTTACCTAAAATACTGAGAAAATGTAAATTGGATATCAGATGTTTGTTATGATGAAATCCTCTACTAACTTTGTAAAGCTTTATGTATAAATGTCACAGTGATGTGATGCAATGTCAGAAATAGGAGGCAAACTGTTTATGTTATTTCAAGTCCATCATTCTTACAGTCCTGATATACGTAGAGTACACTACAGAAATTCCATTTCTGTTTTTCAGTAGTAATAAAGAAAAGTCTGTTGACCAAATAACCTGATGGACTAAAATGATATTTCATGACTGCAGTGGGGGATATAAAATCTTTAATACCCTTACTATTTTCCTCCAGATAATATGAAAGGTACTTCTTTCTCCTCAGTCAGCTTGAAATAAGGATTTTTTTTTTTTTTCTTATGTGTCACTATGAAATAGGCACTTTCCCATACAATTCTTCATGAAATTAGGATTATAATTCTTTCTTTGTTTTGTGGTACAGCTTGTTTGCATGTCTTTAAACCAACAGATTGTAGTGTACTTCCTCTATTTCCTTTTTAATGTTTCCTGAAAACTGTATTGTAAAAAATATAAATCCAGTGATTTTTGCCCAACCTTCAGCTAAAAAGACATGACATTATCTTGATCAAAAGAAGAGAACATTTTCAAAGTTCCAAGCTCTGTAAAAATTATTTACTTGCAAGAAAGTAATAATTTCTTATGTTTATAGGCAATAGGACTTTTAATGACTCCAACGTGATCTGAACCCATTATATTCGATTTGCATTTAAGGTTCTAAATTGTAGTTAGTGCATTAGAAATGAATATGGCATGAGTCATCTGAACAGCCTGTCAGATTTACAGGTTAGCATCTCAAGATGCCACCCGGTTATATAATTGAGTAATATATGCTTTTCAAAAAATTAAAAACCTTACTTATGGTTATTATGAAAGAAATTTCATTGTAACAATATATCTTTGAATCCAGCTAAGACCTTTGGAACTGAGCTAAGAGAGGAGTATGTAGTAATGGATGAAATTTGAATTTAGTTTGTGTAATTGTAAGGTTGAGAGAAAAGCATGCAACGTTCTGGAAGAGTTTGACTTCAAATTTCTTCTTTATTGCACATTTAGTATGTGAGATAAATCAAAGGTCATTATATCAGTCAAGTGTTTTTCAAGGCAGTGTATGACAACTTGGTATCTTAGTTTCATTCCATATCTCAGGATGAGTGATAAATGCTATATAATATAATATAATGTGAAAAAGTTACTGAGTATTCCCCTTTGTGGTAGCCCTGTAAGATTGTTGTATGAAATTTTATGTAAATTCTGATTTGGATAATTTTCAGTTGCTCATTTTGTGTATACACATTTATTTCTACTGTGAATTGCTTTCATTTCATTCAATTGCTCATGCTTTCAGTTGCAATAGAAAATAGAAGAAATAATCTTAGTAGGTGTATATTAGTTTGTGAATGGAAATAGTTCCACAGACATTAAGAAGTTTAATCCAGAAATTGATGAACTTCAGAAGGATTAGGAAGACCACTGGACATACTCTGTGCTGAATTGTACCAAGCAAGCTACGCTTCAGAGAGCTGTCGTTAGGGATGCTGTTGTCACAAATCTTTGAATGCCAGACAGTAAGCAGAACAGCAGCCAATAGTTTAACTAGAACTTTATTCTGAAGAGCAGTGTCACGAAGATTAATCCGTAAGATTTTCTATAAATTACTTGGATTTAAAGATGTTAACAGAGATTACCCCCTTAGTTTCATGAAGTCAAGCATGTGTCCATGAGCTCATGGAATTTAAACTGGTAAAAACTGTATGGAGAGAAAGCATTCTCAGCCACTTCAAAAACATTGTTCATGGCATGGGAGATGCATCACAGACAGTTGTTGATCACAGCATCAATCTTTTGGAAATCGGTTGATGTTCTGACTGTGATGTTTCCTTTTTAAAATGGTCTGAAGATTAAAAGGTTAAAAAAATAAACATAACACTTTAATCAGAGGCTAATTTATGTTTAAGTTTTTTTTTGTTTTGATTATTCACTATGAATTTTTGAAATGTTTTGGAATGAAATCTCTCTTTGATAACATGGAAGGGTAGAAAAGCTGTCATAATCAGAGGTTTGATTGCATGAAGAAGTTTAGTTGTCGTTCAGTTTGAACTAAATGAGTTATCCTGGGGCAATGTGGGAATAAAGAAGTCAGCAGCAGCTTGTTTATGTTACTTGAAATCTGATGCATTTAATCAACATTACTCAATGGTAATAGTATGTATATTATACTCTTTTCCACGTTATTATTTCCATAGCATTTGTTTACCACGTGGTTGAGGTTAAAATGAGGTAGCAATAACGTGGGTACCCATTATGTCAGCTGTATTACTCATGCCTAGTTCACATCTATGCTGTCTGGATGCTGTAGCATCTCTCTGGAGGTAGGGAATATCCCTTTTTCCTTCTGATTCAGAATTTTCATTTACTGTTTTTTGTGTGACTGCATGGTACCATTTTTTTCCTTCCAGTATTATGAGGCTGTAGATCCTTTCTTGTGGAGTGAAAAAAGGGGAGGGACAAAATAAGGTAGGGAAGAAGAGGAGAGAATTATTTCTTCTGGCTTGGGCAGCATTTGTTCACAATTGATTTCCCTTCTGATTGGTTTTGCCAACTGGAGAAATTGAATAAATCAGGGTATAATTTAAAACTGATTTTGTTGCAGATCCAGTGCCCTGTGTGCATTAATCTTGTTCTGTGTTCTGCTTGAGTATGTTACAATTCTATATAAGGATTTATTTGACAACATTATCTTTCTGTGGTTTCTAATGATACTACTGGGAGTGACTAATTTTATAGAATTTGATGTTGACAGAAACGAGGATAGAAGTCTAGGTTGTACCTACTAGCTAAAGTCCCACCCACACTCAATCTGGTTCTGATTGAATTGAGAATATAATTAACTGTGCTTATATGTATTACAACTTACATCACTGCATTCAGAACTTTAAGGTACATTTAACAGTTGTGATTAAGGGCTGCCTGACACCTAAATACACTGATTCTTTTAAAAATACCATGTAAAGGGGAAAAAGGCAAACAAACTTTTTTCTTTTACTCTCAGGATTGTTTACATAATTGAAAAGTATTTTTGGACAATAAAATGTGTTGGAATGTATACATATGTCCTCATGTGTGTACTGTGCCATCATATATAGACTGCATTTATGACACCCTTGGCTGTCTCATCTATACTTTCCCTATCAATCTCCTCTGGGAATTTTTCAGATGTTCCTAACCCTTAAATAGCTTTGAACAGCTGCCTTCTGGGGGTGGGGGGAAAATCATCATAAAAAAGTTTTCTTCTGCACCACCTGCTTTGCATTTTGTATTGTTAAGCCTCACTCTCTTTTGCAATAAAATAAACAAACCAAACAGAAATACCACACTATCTCAAATTTCAGAGATACATATTCTTAATTCTGTCACAAGGATTGTTTAAGAGGTGATTTTTAAACAGAAAAAAAGAAAAGTTGCAAAGTTTGTAGTGGCAGTTTTGTCTTACTTTTGCCTTTTCTATGACATGTAATGTGTCTGTCCCAGGTTCTGAGTTCTGAAAGTCTGTGATTCAAATTCTGACATTTTATCCTAGAGCCCTCTCTTAAGTAATTGTTAGATTTTTAATTTATGTGTAGTTTTCTTACTCTTTTGAGTTGAAAGTTTGGATTCAAGGAAAGCATGATAACTGTTCAAAGTGATTTCCTCAAGTTCTAACAAGAATTTTGATAAAATAAAGGGTGTCATTAGGCATTTTTTTAATTGTGTCTTGCAGAATGTCTTTTATGCAGAAAAGCATCTATGTTATGATATAAAACAATCTTGCTGGCAGTGAGTTGGTCTCAGCCACATAATCAGTTCAGGGTTTTCTGCCCCTAATTAATCCTGTTAAGGGCAGATTAAGTGTCCAGTAAGTGTTTCTACTGGATACAGATAAAAACTTTAACCCTTAAGTAATGGGTTCCGATTTGGGAGTGTGGAATAGTTTATATGGGGATGTGATTCAATTTATTTTTCTTTATTTTTTTTAAGTAGAGATCATATTTATATGCCTGTTCTGTAAAGAAAAATTACAGATTTTTATTTAGGGCCAGATTTAATAATCAAGTGGAAAATTTCAGGCAGTACTGTTAGTTTTCATATATGTGTAACTCAGTTTGCTGTTTAAAATACTTGAAAAGAGTTAAATTTAAAACCAAGTCTGTTTATATTGCCTTGTGTAAGAATGATAACATCATTCTTTAATTTTCATTTTTTATTACTTTAAATCTTATATTAAAGCACTTTTTTAAGGCAGGGTTTACCAGTGAGTAGACAGAAATTGCATCAGAATGTTAAAATTATTTTGTTGTTGTTGTAAGTCTTTTTTTTTGTCCTCTATGAAGTTACTCACTTGTTATGGAAAGGTAGGTATAGCAAGCAAAGACTTTTCCCTGCATTTGAACACTTGCGGTAAAGACTACCTTAAATTAATAAAAATACTACAAGTAATTTAAAATGACAGTATTTGATCCCTATATATTTGGAAGAAAAGTCTGGTAGCTTTTTCTAATTATCTTGGTATCGATAAGCTAGATCAGTACACTGTATGCTTAGTCTTAGATGTCATTCTTGCTCAGTATAACATAGTGGACGCAGTGTAAAAAGCAATTTTGAAAATTGACTTGGATCTTTTCTGAAAAAGTGAGAATTCACATGTCAGTGGGAGAAACTTGCCTTATTTTAACAAAATAAACAGAAGTTTGACATGGTGACCTCTTTCTAAACATGGTAGAGGAAGAGCTTGTTAATTTTAGCTGACTTAAAATATATAATATCATGGGGACAAAAGGCATTCTGCGTAAGTTTTTACTTATGCCAAATACAGTATTCTAATTATTGTGATTTAATTTATTTTAAAATAAATTACACTTCCAAATACTAATGTTTTACAATACAATTTAGACCTTTAACTCAAGAAGAAATAGCTCATCGGCGTGAACTTGCGAAACAAAGGCATGCAGAAAAATTAGCAGCAAGTCAAGGAAAGGAGCTGTCAGAAAAGCCCTCAAGTGAAAATTCATCTGAAGTAACTACGAACACTGGTGATACAAAAGGTATCTAATGCTTTGCTACCTATTTTTCTTACAGGACATTTAATAGTACTGTCTAGGTGTTGTCAGGGGGCTGTGAACCTTACAAAGACTCATCCATATGCCAGTTCAAGCAGCTCAATAGATGGAATTGAATGAAGAGTGACGAGGGATTTGTAAGAAAGCTGATAGTTCATAAATGCTGTAATAGTGCCATGGATACCTCTTCCTGGAGCCTGCGACTGTGCTTGGTCTCAGTACTTTGATTCGGTGAAGATAGGTGATGCTTGAAGGAGATGCTCTGCTGAAAAATTTAATTTTCACTCTAAGTAGAAAGGTGCAGTGATTGACTTTTGCCCTTGTGTATGGATTAGAAATGTTCAGTTTAACGTACTGCTAGAACCTTCTTATGGACTTGTTACTAGCATACTTTATGCCAATATAACTTTTGATTCCTTTAAACTTTTAGGAGAATAACTGTTTCATTAAAAAAGCCCAACCAAACAGCCTAATAATAAATTGGTACAAAAGCATTGTATGAGGGACAGGACTGGATTATGAGTTACAACAGGGCATTCTTGCTGTCTTTTAATGTGTCACCAGATGTGGTAGGATAATATGTAATTGATTTTTTTTTTCTTCAGATGATGAGGCAGAAACTGCTTTTATACTTCATGTGTTTTTCATGTGTTTTTCTAACTTTGATTAGATGAAGAGCAACATCTCACTGGTCAAGTAGAGACCTCGAAGGCAATGAAACAGGAAGCAGACAACAAGGAGTCTTTCATTGCATTTGCTAGAGTCTTCAGTGGTGTGGTGCAAAGAGGGCAAAAGATCTTTGTTTTAGGACCAAAATATGATCCTGCTGAGTCTTTGCATAAGGTAAGATGTTACAGTGAAATGTTATCATAACTTGGCATTCTTTTGAAACACTGATGACTTAACTTTTTAGATGTTGCTCTCTCAAAAAAATGAAATAAAAAAAGTTAAAAGTAAAAAATTCTGAAAAGTATCAAAGTAATTTATGTAATTGTGGTAATAGCTGATCGTGTCTGTAAATTCCTTTTAAACCTTAACATTTCCAAAATAGTTTAAGTACAGCATTGCATTCGCTAACAATAAACAAATTGAAGTATGTGCATACTTCAATTAAAAAGAAACTTGCGAAGGAAAAAACAATACTTTTGGGGAACAGGAAGGTGCATAATAGTATTGAGAAAAAAATGGTATTAAATGTTTTGAGATTGTGATCATCGAAGTTCATTACTTATGAATTTACTTGAAAACATTTGTTCTGTCCGTGACAATGAAAAGTGAGCTAGGAGTAGTACGCATTTAAAAATGACCAAAGAAAGCATTATTTTTGAATTTTCTTGGCAACATTTGACTTGTTTTCCACAAGACTGGGTTTTTTGGAAGGGAAAAAAATATTTTCAAATTTATGTTGTTTTTCAATATCTAACTTTTGAAATGAAAATGCTTTAGAAGGTATTTCTTAGCTTTGGAATGCAAGGAGGTTTTGAGGAAGAAGTACTAAGTACTATCAGTACTAAGTGATAAATATCTAATACTGGTTGTTTTACTCTGTGTAGCTGTCATCCCAGTGTTCTGCTACAGATGATCTGCCATTAGTACCTCATATGACTTGCTGCACGTTGGAGAATCTCTACTTGCTTATGGGAAGAGAACTTGAAGATCTCGAAGAAGTACCTGCAGGAAATGTTCTGGGTAAGATGTAACTAGTATTTAATTTTCTGGAGCTTGAATCCTTTTGTCATCCAAAATACACTGAAATTGTTTTGATGTGATTAATAATAAGAAAACTTAAATAAATCTATGAATACTTTTAGATATGTTGTGTGTGCAAAAAATGAAGGTGCTGTAATTAAACTGTGATTTCTGTAAACTTTGAATTGTGAGGAGGGAAAAGATGCAGGAACAGGAGAAAACTAGGGATTACACTAGTTACTAGTTACTAGATTTACTGTTATCCTCATGTTAGAGTGTTGTCAGGTAAGCATCGCTGCCAGGCGTTGCCAAAGGCAGCAGTAAGGTCTCATATTTTATAAATTGCAAATATTGTCTATAATATTTTCCCAACAGTAGAAAGTCTGTAATGTGACTTCTCTAGTGATGCAGATAATTGTAGTTTTATTTATGGGTCTGCTTGAACTATAATGCTAAAAATGTATTGCTTCTATGGCTGTGGCAAATTTGGAACTTTCTCTATGGACAAGGTTCTAGGTGATGTCATCCTGATCATTGAGGTATGCTCTTTTGTGCCACATTCTGAGTTGCTTTGCTGTAGAGTATGAGTAACACTCTTGATTCTGTCCTTCATTTGTCTTTTTTTAATATCAAAACTGCTGTTTAGAATTTAGAAAGTGTAAACTTTAAAAGTTACTTGGTTCTTAATTTTTTTCACTTTGTGAATGAAAATGTATGAACCACAGCAAAATACAAGATGATTTTTTTCATGTCTATCATCTGATTTTTAGAAATGTAAAGTAAATATATAGTAAATTAACAAAATCCAACCCTGATAGAGTATACCTGTTGTTAATGTAGGCAGCTAATCGTGCTGGTCACTTTTAACATGGGCCTGATATTCAGAACATAAGCAGCTGATGCGTTAGTTTTATTTGAAAGCTTAATATTTTAAAATTCTGAATTATACCTTAGTCTAGTCTGATGCCCAAGTTGACAGTTTTCAGTATTAAAACGTATTAAGTATGCTGTCTGTTTGCTTCAAAAAAATGATTAGGAGTTTGGAAAAAACCCCAAAACACTCTGCAGTTAAAAGTGAAAGGATATTACCTTTGTATTTGCCAGATAATAAATACTCCCGGAGCTGTCTCCTGCAGGGAAAAATATACTGGGAGAATTATATTATGTCTTTAACGTTGAAAGTCAGACCAAATTTCAAGAAATGTTCTTGTAACCAATTACTTCTACCAAAAAGTTGTGAGTAGTCTGTACTGATGAAGGCTACTCTTCAGTGAGGTCTAGATTTTCCGTAAAGAAAAGCATATTAGTTGAGTAATATGGAGGTTCTAAATGGTGACACAAGATTTGTCATATTTAGAAGAATTCATTAGAATTTTAAGATCAGAATTACCAGTAAGAGCAAACTATGTTTGGTATTTCATTTCTTTTTACCAGATCACTGTCTAGTCCCTTTACATATTGATGAAACAGGTTTTCATTTTTACCTAGAACATACAAGCTCAAGTGTGTGTGTATATATATTTTTGTTTTTTTTAAATCTGATGTAATTTAAAAGAATTTTTTAAACTAAAATCCCCAAATTCCTTCTTGTTCATTTGTTTGTCCTATTTCACTGTAAAGCTGCGTTGTTAATTTACATAAATTCAATAAACACCTTTACTGATTTGATGATGATTTACCACACTCAGGAGAAAATGCAGTACATTTTATATGAAAGGAATCTGTAACAATGGCGATGCAAGGCTTTTATTATTCCAGTTAGAAACAGTGATTTCTGTTTCAAAGGCCATCTTCTAGCTTTAAAGCATACTGCAGTGATTTCTCTCCAGCCGTATAAGGAAATTGCTTGTAGATTATCTGGTAAATTAAGGAAGTTTTTCTGAAAGCTCTGTATAATTAAACTATTGCAACACAGTTATTCATGACTGCCTATTTCCACTTTAAAATTTGTGGTATAGGTTTTTTTCAGATTTTTTTTTTTTTTTTCTTCAGGGTTTGGGGTTTTTCTGCTAGTATTTATAGGTTGTTTCTTACAAGGAAGAATCTGCTTGGTCCTAGTGAGCAGTCTTTTCTTTATACTGGCTTATGCAAAGGTTTAATGATCAAAGACATGGCTTGATACATAGATTGCTTTACTGAAGATGAACAGATTTCATCACTTCATCCTTGTTCCTTAAAACATTTCATCCCTTTTCTTAACATTCTAATCTCCTTGTAATTGCTAAAAATCTGAGAAACTTGTAGCAAAATATTCTCAGAGGAAAAGGTAATGAAGCATGTTGTATTTGAACTACAGTGCTGTCACACAAACAGAACTCAAGAACATCCAGCTGAAAAGCAATACTATGTCCCTGTCTAATATGGATAGCCATTCTGGCAAGCTTTGGAAAGATATTTTGTGGTATTATTCTGAGTTCCTGGAAGTTAGGAGAGACAGGCTGCTTTGCATTAGTTAATTTGTATTGCACATTTGCAGCTCAAATGTTTTGTCAAAAGTACTTGTCAAAGAGCTTCAAGCAGTATGTCATTTTTAAGTAGTGGCAAACACAAAATACTGCCTGCTTTAACATGGCTGTTTATAATTCACAATTTTCTTCTTTATAATCTCTGTGACTACTATACATTTTTGTAGTGTTTGAGTAGGAGGTGAAATACAATTTTAAACAAATGAAAAAAGTTCTTGGGGACCAAGGATAATAAAGCCTTTGTAATAAATCTTCTTTTAAAAATTGTCAGAATATTCTATGAAAATAGTAAAATCCTTGTCTCTGACAAAAACACTTGGTTTGTAGAATTTGTAATTTAGAAGCATCATTCGCCTCTCCACTCTGAGAACCACAAGGGAGTATGTGAACAAAATGCCTTCTGAGGAGAGAGTACTGCCTTATTTTTCATTTTTTTCCCCCCTGCACTTCTGTTAGAGGTCCTGCGCCAGCAGAAGGAAATTGTACTTGGTAACTGGTACTACTAGGTTCTACTCTGTACTACTTTGAACAGAGACCTTGCAGGAGAGTATAGTTAGTGGAGCAGCAGATAAAGTGATACTAGATTTGATATGTGGCCTTAGGTTCCAAATGGCACTTGTATTTAATTGAAGCTGCTGAGTGAAAAACATGATAGTCGTTGGAATAGGCCATGAGAACTGTCTTGAGGTTTAATTTGGAAAAAAGTTGAAGTACTGATCCAAAAATAAATCATGTGTCTTGATGCACTGTTTCAGGAATGGCTTATTTTTCTGTATCAGGTCACAAGGCTTTTGGGTGGTACGCAGCTGCTGAATTTGAACCTTCCTGTCATCATAGGGTCTGAAAGCCCTGAGAGTGAGAGCTTTGTCTTGCAAATGGTCCACAACTTGTTCTTACTGCAGTGCTAGCCTTCTCTGTATCACTCTGTCCTGTCTTAAGGACCGTATGAACTTCTCTACCGGCTTCGCTTGTCTTGCAGTTGGGCTGATGCCTTACTATCTTCACAGAAACAGTGTTACCTGTTTTTGTAAATTCTAACTAGATATATTAAAATCATGCTTAAATTCCAAATATAGAAGTACTCTGTGCTTGCAAACATAAAATGTGACAATTATGTATGTCGCTTAAATCTGAATCTCAAAATCAGTTCAGATCTTTGGATTCCAAGACATCTCTGGCACATTTTGTGCTCCCCTTTTGAAAACTGCCTGAATATCCATTGGAAGGAAAATGTTGTATCATAGACCTTGCTGTTCTGAAAATAGTGTTCTTCTGAGTCTTTAAGGAGAGAAACAGAACTTGAATATTAAATTCCAAAGACTGTTTGACTGATGTATCATTGCATATTCTTGGGGACACCATAATTAATGCTGACCTGTGTTCACATAATATAGTGCTGTGCAAATAGCAAGCTACTGTTAATTGCTCCACGCTCAAGGTTTGTCCTTCTTTGTTGTGCCAAAATATATCGGAGAAAGAAGTTGATATAGACAATCATCTGGCTATCTGAATGTGTTTAGCTTCTTTGGTTTATTGAATGTTATAGAAGCTTAGGTTCTTCCTGAGACACTCCCCCTTGTTGTTCAGGGAATCTGTGGTACTGGAGGTTCCTGCTACCATGCAAGCATCTTCTCCAGATGTGTTGTATTTGACAGGAAGTCAGCCTCTGGTCATAGCATGAAATCCATTGATCTCTAGTTTAGTTATCATAACTCTGCTTACTAATGCTTAGTTTCTCTTATAAAAGGGAAAACTATCAATTGTCCAGTCATGAAATGTAAATTGATTTAATTTGGGTGTTGTATGTAAGTTCTGTTTGTCAAGTAGTGTTAGGTATTGTATAACAAACTGTAGAGACTGATAATGCAGGTACACCAGTAGAAAAATTAACACTAACATAAAGAATTTTTCTTTTCAAATTATTTTTGTTAATAAAAGGTGTGGGGAAGCAGTATTTATTATGTCATTTCATGAATGAAAAAATGTTGATACTTTACCGGAAGGGAAACAAATAAATTGAAACAGTGTTAAAAGCTCCACAAAGGAGATTATTACAGGCAAGTTTTAAATTATTTCAGTTATGGTTTTATGTTAAGAATATTTCATCTAAATCAAGACTACCTCTATCACACCAGTAGGTGTTCTGAAGCCATTAGTAAGTGTATTCTGGGGAAAGCAAGAGGAAGTAGGGATGGTTGATTTGCTTATTCCCATTCAAGAATCTCTCTATACATATATTTTTTGTAGATAGGTAGTTAAACCAGGCAAAGGAAAAGTACAAATACAGGAAGACTGTCATTTTGTAACACTTATTCTGATATTTTTGTGGTTGAAGATGATAAAAAGAACTTAATGGGTGATGCCCAATGTGACAAGGGAAAAATTAGAAGGCAATATATAAGGGAAAAGTAATTTGGGCTCATAAGTAAAAATTGAGCAAGTACATGCTCTCCAGATGCGCATAATAGCTTCCTTTTCCCCTCTTTTTGTTATTTTTCTTGTTGCTGTCCTGTAATTGAAGGCAAAATGCCTTTT